ATATATATGCATATATTTCTGACAAGTGCGAATCATAAGATAGAACTAGCTATATCTGAAAATTTGTCGTTGCTATTCTGATTCAAAGAAACTAAAGTAATGTAGATGTTTCACGAAAATATATTAAAATAAATAATAACTTTGAAGATAATAAAAATACAAACTTAAGTTAGATGTGAGAACTATTAGAAAAACAATCATCTTAAGCAATGCTGATATTATCTTGAAACAGTTTTTATAATAAAATATGATCTTGGTTATTTTATTCTTAAAAATAAAATTTATTGATGAAATGCAATCCATTTAAAAAAAAATTATCGCTCAATTTTTCGTATTCAAGATTAGCCTTTTCTTTCAATCATAGCCTGCATTGGTAGATGAGAGCGAGCAAGAAAGAAGCATAATCATGTGTAAAAATGAATAAATACATGTTCAGAGATGAAAATCAAATGAGAATATTTCAAATAACAAAATTGAAGTTTTCAAAGTTTTCTATAAAATAACTCAATTGTTCAATTTCTAAGTATTAAATTACATATGTAGTTTCTTTCAGCTGTATTATAGTTTCTCAAAAATATATTATGAGTTTTATTCTAATACTTCAATTTTTTTAGTAATACTCAGAAAAACTGCTCATTCCTCCGTCAAAAAGCATTGATACTGTTTCTGCAGTTTTAACAGACAGGATGCATCGTTACGTTTATGTCTTATTTAATTTTGTGTCTCATTCCAATATTGAAAATTATTATTCAAAACTTTTACATTTAAAAAGTTTATAATTTGTCAATGCTTATCTTCTTCATAGTTTGAAGTTTTTCGATCAAAAAAGAATCAACATAATAGAATGAAAATATAATTATTATTCATTATTATCATGTCGATTTTTTTATTGAAATTGATAGACTTTGATATATTGAAAAATTGATTTCAATGAAATATATATGTGTGAGTCAGAAGACCTTATCTCATGATGATAAATAATGATATTGTATTTGAATGTTGATTCAATGGAATTAGGCTTAAATAAGAAAACAAGAACGATGTACAAGACAGAACAGATTAGAATAATTCGCATGTAGCTGAGTGGCTGAAGAGCGTGGAATAACGCGACGCTGGTTCGAATCCAGTGCGAAGCAGTTCATTTTTTTTCTGTTATGTACATATTTTTTCATTAAATTTTGTTAAAATATTTTCTGCTTATGATCAGAAGTACCCTTTCGAAATCTGAACGTGAATGGGGTAATTGATCACGCTGAATCTGAATATGCTACTCTTATTCATCAAGAATATAATCTTTTATGCTCAAATTTAATAGATATAGCGGACAGTGATTAGATTGATTCAGTTTTTCAAACTGAAGTTCCTTCTACCTAATTGAATTGAGTCTCATATACTTATGAGAATTTCAAGAAAAAAAATTTAAAAAAAAATTTTTGAATATGAATTAAAGAAAAGAACGTTTCAGATAACAAAAAATATTTTAGTCACCTAATAAATTGTTAAATTTTAATACTAATTTTAATATTTGGAATTTATAAAATTTTTATTATATAATTATATTTTTAAATAATTTTTTTAATTATAAACTATAATCGTGAAGAATGTTATACATTCTTCTGAATATATGTGCACGAAATTTTTCTTTTCGTTCTGTCGTATGTATGCATATATATATATATGTGTATACGCGTACGACAGAACGAAAGAAAAAACTAAAGAAAGTATAAAAAAGTTCTTCTTGTAGGGAATTTTGTTTGAAAAAGTTTTGCTTGGAACTACACTATACCCCGCGCTCATATTCTAGGGTAATACTCAGTTTTTTGCGCTCTTTCTAACGATACCAATCTTACGTATTAGACTTTTAGAAAATTTTTTTTGATTGTTTGATATGTATAATCATACACCTTTAATCGATGAAAATCAGCCTTAACCAATTTTAATTGATTACTATAATATAATAACTGTTTCCGAGATTATAATCGATTAAAGGTGTATGATTATAATCGATTATAATCTGATTTTTTTCCTTTTTTTCACATGAGTAACGTCGCTTTGGACAAAAAAAATGACACAGTAGACAACTGGTATTATTAACTATGAAACAAACTAGTTGAACAACTATTGTGATGACGTGGGGAAAGAGGGATAGTAAGTCCAAAATCAGCAAAAAAGTGATGGCATAATAAATATTTTTCGATCATTTTATATCAGCTTAGGTTCACATTGAAAAATTAGAAGAAAAACGAATTAGAAAACTGATTGAATCATCATCATGTGAAACTGAAAAGAGCGATTCTTGTTTGCTATTGGTCTGTTTAAATCGCTTGATGCAAATAAAAAATTATCGATTTCGATTTCTTTTATTCTCTATGCTTGTTATTGAGATAAATAAAATGCTTCTCACGCTTGATTAGTCAAACATACAATAAACGTATATTCATTCTGTATAATGTATACAAAGCTATCGATTTGATATCCCATCTTCATGCAAACAACGTAGCATGGCAGAGACGCAACCATTATTAGTCACGACTGATACTTGTTCAAACGATGATATAAATGAGAAGAAAAATTCGTCATTTAGTCGAAGGCATGTCTAGAAAAAAAACATAACATTTTACTGAAGTACACACTAAAATAAAATGTGGCGCATGTGTTGCAATGAGCATCTCATATCATACTTTTTATGTGTCGCATCTCGTGCGTTCTACGCTTGGTGATGTTATATAGCAGTGCAGAACGCAAAGATGTGACACATCAAAAGTGCGACACATGCAGCACATTTTATTTTAGTGTGTACGTATATCTAGATTGGGCGATATTAATCAATGGTTCAAATGTAAAACGAATGGTTGCGAGTTCAAACGATTAGATAGTGACAATCATTCCAATGGTACCGAACCGGTCATTCAATATTTTCAATTGGTAACTACAGTATCAATTAAATATGAATGCAGCATTTTTTTTTGTTTATCTTCTAGTTTCGTTTTGCTGATTGGATAGATTTTTTTCTAACATTCTTGGCATTATGTACTACAGTGATTGATAGCATAGCGTTCACTGCACGCGCCCTTCTTTTCTGTCAACTAACAGCCGCATGTGCTTTACAATCTTTTGTTGGACGTTGTTCTTCTTTATCACAAAATATATCGACAAGTAAGGATAATGGCAATGGATGTCCATTGGGTATCGAACTAAATTCTTTCAATTATAATCATTTACACAAGTAATGTCACAATACCTATAGAATTTCGATGAAATTTGTCATCATCATTTTTAGATTTTGTCCTAACGTAACAATTACTTCTACATCATCATCAAATTTCTCTGAAAATGGTTTCCGATCCGACATAATGAACAAACTACAATGGCTATTTAGTATGTAGACTAAATCAGAGCTTTTTCGTATTAGACAATATGATTTATTCTTAGTTTTTGCTTCAATTGAATTCATATGCTCTTTCATTCAATGTTACTTTTTGACCGTGACTGCAAGACGTCAAACGTGTCGAATACGTGTTCTTCTCTTTCGTTCACTTCTCCAACGTGTCGGTGAACAAAAGTTAACATTCAAATGTATACGAATCATTTCTTTCATTGTTTAGAATATAACTTATTTCGATAAAAATTCGGCCAGTTCGTTTAATGTCAAACTATTTGAGTGAGTTAGATTCGTTGAAAAGGTTTTTCTTTTCGATATTCATAGCAAACGATGTTTATCATTCGATAGAAATATTGACAATTTGAGTAAAGCCATTGGCCTTGAATTATCGAAGTATCTACTTGGAATATTTTCGACAATTTTTACTGTTCTTCTCTGCTTTTTCATTGATTGGAAATTGACACTAATCTTATTATGTGTTGCACCATTAGTCATAAGGAGTCATTTCGAAAATTTGTCGCCCTTTTTAATTATCCTCCCTTGTATCATCCTTTTCTTTGGCGTCCTACGATAATCCTTTATCAAAATGAGTACTCTTTTATGACCTCCTTCACGAACGTCTACTAACCGGTTCATTTATCTTTTCCAAGGTATAGATTTTCTTATTATTGATAGAGTTCAAAATTCCTGAATTATTCGAATAGATTACAACGACAGCATCAATAAATGAACTAAATTCATATAGCAAAGCCGGACAAATTATTCAAGAAGTATTCGGTTCTCTTCGAACGGTTCTTTCCCTCAATGGGCAAACATTCGAAAAGAAACGGTAGATTTTGCGAAAAGCTCATTTGGAAAAAAATTTTCTCGTTTGACTCGATGCATAGATATGAAACTGAATTACGTAAAATCCATTGGAATAGTATTCTAAAAGGAGCTGCCTTTGGTCTTCTAACTGGTTGGGTCTATTTGATGGCCTATATCATATATTCTACTGGCTTCATGTTTAGCATCGCTTTTATGCATGACAAATATTTCAAATTCAATCTGAGCAATATTCTTATTGTAAGATCGTTATCAAACAGACTGAAATGTGTTCTCTCTTTTTCAATAGATTGTTATTAGTTTTGCACGAAGAATAACATTTGTGGCATTGATTAGCCCTTTTCTACAATCATTGGAGGAAGCTCGCAGTGCATTGTCACCTGTATTTCGACTTATTGATGAGGTAAATTTCAAGAATTTTTTTTCCGTCAATACCATTCTTATTTAAAAACAAAACTACGCGAAGGATTGTTAGATTTTCTATAGATTTTATTATTATTATTTAGAACGGAGAAACAGATATAAATGAACCTGAAATATTTGAAGATTCGAATAAAAAAGGTCAAACAATCGATATTAACGGTGATATTCACTTTCACGATGTCAATTTTACGTATCCCAATCGATCAGAAGTGTCTGCATTAAGAAATCTCACACTAGTTGCTCGTGCTGGTGAGACTACTGCTTTGGTCGGTCCGAGTGGTTGTGGTGAGTTTATGGATATAATATTTGTATTTTTAATAATGAATTTTTTATTCATGAATTAGGAAAAAGTACTTGTATATCATTATTACTTCGATTTTATGAGCCTGCATCAGGACAAATTACTATCAATGGTCATTCAATTGACACATTCAACGTGAAACAACTTCGACAAAATATTGCTGTTGTCAGTCAAGAACCTGTATGCTTTGTTCCTCTTGTCTTATTTTCTACTCACTTTCTATTGACATAGATTCTACTTAGTACAAGTATTTATGAAAATATTCGCTATGGAAAAGAAAATGCTACCAAAGCAGAAATCGAAGAAGCAGCACGTCAAGCAAATGCTCACGATTTTATCATACGATTATTGGATGTTTGTATTATATGTCCATTTCTGTCTAGCGAAGATTTATAAGCTAAGTTTTTCTTTTTCGTATTTTATTTCATAGAAATACGAAACACGCATCGGAGAAAATGGTACACAATTGAGTGGTGGTGAAAAGCAACGGTTGGCTTTGGCTCGTGCTCTTGTCAAACAACCGACTGTGCTCTTATTAGATGAAGCAACAAGTGCACTTGACTATGCTAATGAGAAAATTGTTCAACAGTCTTTAGATCAAGCTTGCAAAGGTTTGCAAAATTAAATATCGAATTCGATCTTGAATACCATGTGTTTCAAAATTATTTGACAACATTTTCACAAAGATAAATTCGAAAATTCGATAACATGTTTTCGCTTTCTACACTTATAGATTTTTTTGCGACACTTTGTGCATAAAAAAGTGTTTTTATTTGGCTTCCTGCCACAAAAAATGGCAAGTAATCAGTAAAAAATGCGTTTCTGCATAACGCATATATTGCTTGTCAAAATTTATCAATATAGTACTTCACAGTAACATAATATAAATCGGAGAGAATGAAATTTCGTGCTTTTGAATGTTGTTGATGTCAGATATTCGTAGCATAATTATGATACTATCTTTTGCTTTCATTCTTGTGAAAATGTTTTCTTTTGTAGAAAATTCAACATTAAATCTTTTGAATAAAACTTTGTCTAAAACTATGAAAATCGAAAAAAATATTGGGGAAATACATGGATCCTCATTCTTTTTCAATTCTCATTATATATATGCATTCATAGGTCGCACAACGATTGTCATTACTCATGATTTGAAAACCATTCGAAATGCACATCGTATTTATGTTCTGACGAATGGACATGTTATTGAGCAAGGTCAACATGAAAAATTGATGGCAGATGAAAGAAGTATCTATCGAGAAACGGTGAAAATTCAACAAGCAGAGACAACTGAAGATGATACCGATACGATAATGAACCAAGCAATAGTTGAAGATGATGATAAGCAAAAAACTATTGGTGTGTATGCACTAGTTTTTCTTGAATCATTTTGATACAATATACTTTTCAATTAGTTGAAGGTTCTCGACTTCTGAGCGATGATGATAAAGCTGACGTCGATCAAGTAATTAATATTAGATGCTTCTATCATGATAGTTTTTAATAGCTGCTATGTTTATTAGAGTTTATCAAGTGAAAGTCGTCGGCCGATATTTGTTCGATTGATATCAATGAATAGTCCCGAGTGGAAAATCATACTTATCGGTTGTTTAGCATGTCTAGCTAGTGGTGCAAGTCAATCAGTCTTTGCCATTCTACTCAGCAAAATCATAGATGTAAGTCATTCAATCGTACACCATAATATTGTATGATTACTTAATATTTAGGCATTTGGCGAATGTGATTATGTCAAACAACGTCGTCATGTATTTGTTCTAAGCTCTCTACTCTTGGTTATCGGTGCTGTAATATTGTGTATTCATCTTATTCAAGTAAGATTCTTATCAATATAAATACACAGATGATCGTCACAGCTGTCAAATTTGAAGCTAAATGAATGAGATATCATCTCAAGAATTAATATAAGATACTTAAGAGAGGATTCATGAGAGAACCTACCAACTTTGTATGAGTCCGACAGCTGCTAAAATTTCGATTTTCGATTTAATTATCTCAAACGATAGATCATCATTAGAATACTTCAAATTCAAAATATTAGCTCTTTCTGTCTTTTCTGTAAAAAGTGCCAAAGCATAAAAGTAACACACCCATTGAAACTTGGTCAAAATATCGCAGTTTTTGAGTACTCTTAGTATTTTACAGTTTTCTCTGTGTCTGAAGATTCTTTCGAGTTTGGTGACGTTTCAAAAGATGCGGAAATGTTTTCTCTACAAAATTGGATAATTCGGTCCAAGCTGGATCACACTGTTCGAAAGTGTTTTTCTTTTTTTCTGAAAGCCCTTACAATTCTGCATCGTTTAAGGTGTAACTCAAAAGATAAACATATTGATAGCCAAAGTTAGTCCAAATCAAAAATGTTGATGAGTGATGCACATTCCTATCCATTTGCACCCATAATCAGAATAATGCATATATTACGTTCACTGAAACCAAAAATCTGGTTTCAGATTCGTAATTAGCATGAAAAACTGAGTATAACAACGTGGTTTCATTAAATATAAAGGAAATCTAGTTCAAAATATCCTGTCCAGTACAAATAACTGAAGAATATCTCAAAGTCTACTTTTATAGACCTCTCTATAGGTAATTGTGAGGAGATATGGAACGAAAAGTTTTACTCCATACAGAATCGGTGCATTCTTACCTTCAAAAGTATCTATTTATGTGCTCTTAAAGTTTGCATAGCTGTCGAGAAAATTGGATTTCTCATGGTCTTGGTAGCAAAAATATAAAAAACTGTGAAAAATTGCGTCCATGTTTGATAGCATATTCTGAATCAGCACGAAAAACCACGTCGAAAATCATATTCTTTAGAAAAAAGTTTTTCACGAAAAATCAACCCCTGCGAGGACCACAGACAGAATTTTGGAGTGTGGATATGGATGTGTATATGAGTTTGACTCTTCTCTTAATTCATAGCACACCCATCCACACTCATACCCATTGGCAGTACCAGCGCCTAATCAGCATATGAGCACCTTTAATTTTAAAACGTGTGGGTAACGATTTGAATCCAGACCCGTAAACTCCAGGACGATATTCTTCAAGCATATATTATGTTTGAAGATACCATTAAATTCATTGTATTTGTTCATCATTATCAAAATAGGCGATAAGAGATGAAGACAATGTACTAAGAAGTCAAGATGTGAATTTATTTACTGGTCAGACCCAACAGATACATATGTTTATATGAGATATTCGACCAATTTAGATCTAGATAAAGGAACAGGCGAGAGAAAAAAAGCGAGGATGAGTGCAATGCAGAGAACAAATACAATGTGTATTTGGATCTCGATCCAGAACCAAGCAACATATGCACCAATCTCTAACTGAAGTTTGTTTTCGAAATTTCTATTAATGATGTCTTTATTATGTTCAGTTGGTCCGTTACACAAGTTCATTTTCATGAACTTGTCCATATTCAAACAAGAATTGAACTTACATGTGTTAATATGTATAAAAACAACAAAAAGATAAAAAACCAATTTACTCTTACTACAGACTGTTGTGAGAAAAAATACCATCTGGTTTTCTGATGTATGTTTTGTTGTTTGATTTCTATTTTTTATTTGTGATTAATACACCATACAACGCAGTAAAGTCTATACTTTTTTGTTATATATTCATTCTTGGAAAAAACAACGAACTATAATAGTTTGAAGTAAAAAAACACATATGGAAGAAATTTTATTGAGGTTTACTGTAATATATCCATCGTTCGTTACATATTTTTTTGTGTTTTTAATCTTCATAGTTTATTGCATTTGCCTGGTCAGGATCGAAATTAACACAACGCATTCGTATAAAAGCTTTCGAACAACTCCTTTGTCAAGAAGTTGCCTATTTCGAACGTCCGGAAAATAGTTCTGGTGCTATTTGTAATCGTCTTTCATCAGAAGCATTAGCTATTCAACAGATGGTTACTTCACGTCTAAGCATTGTATGTGATGCTTCGGCTACATTTGGATTTGGTCTTTTACTCGGCTTTTTTCTTAACTGGCAGTTGGCTTTAGTCTTCTTTATCTTCCATCTCTTCGTGCTTATATTGGTTTTTATACAAATAAAATGGCAAGCCAGAATCAACAAACGTTCTCATCGTCTTATCGGACAAGCAAGTTCAGTAAGAAAAGAAAATAATTGTAGTTTTCTTTTTGACTTTATCCATTATCTTTATGGTCTCTTCTTCTTATGTATAGCTTGCGGTAGAAGTTATTCACAATATGCGCACAATAAAACAACTGGCTATTGAAAAAGCACTTGTCAAACAATTTTCTCAACTGCTTTATGACGAGTTAATGTAAATATCGTATTCATAATTGTTTTCTATCTTTCATTTTTATATGAATGCTTTAGAACTCGTCGAAAAGATACAATCATATCAGCATTGCTTAATGGAATCTATTGGGGTTTCCCATCATTTATTGTAGCATTTATCTATTGGTATGGTCTTAAACTTGTCGAACACCATCAAATTAACTTGAAAAACATGGTTATGTACGTAATACACAATATTCTGTGATCGAAAGAGGATAAAAGATTTGAATTTTTTTAGTATCTTCGTTTTCGTCATTTTATTTTTCGAATTCTTTCGAGTCGTTTTAACCTTGTAAGTTGTCAAAAATGAACTGCTCACTCCTATGAATGTATATATTCGTAGAACCCGGCATATAGGCGCTTCATTATCTGCAGCTCAAACTTTCTTCAATTTATTTGATCGTATACCAACTATTGATAATAGCTCAAAGGAAGGTCGAGCATTGGTAAGTTTATTTTATTTTTTCTCACGAAAATTTGTCTCATCAAGTAAATACGATAATAATAGAGTGATTTCCATGGTACCATCGAGTTTGATCAAGTAAAATTTGCTTATCCATCTCGACCAACTGCACTCATTCTGAATAAATTTCAAATGAAAATGGAACCTGGTACGTTTCATATTTTTGTTGATTTTAGCTAACAACTGTTGTTTTTTCTTTTTCTTGAGTAGGTCAACGCGTGGCTCTTGTCGGTAGGTGAATGTTCATTGTCATATCTGAACACAGGTATGTCATCTATTCACGCAGGTGCATCTGGTTGTGGCAAATCAACTGTTATCCAGCTCTTGGAACGATTCTTTGATGCTACACATGGTCAATTAGTATGTCTAGAAATGGTCAAACTAATCCTCGAAATGATCTACTTCTATAAATTTAGTTGCTCGATGGAGTCGACATTCGAACATTGAATCTTCATTGGCTTCGCTCGCAAATCGGCCTCGTTAGTCAAGAACCTATCTTATTCGACATGACTATTGCTGAGAATATAGCATATGGTCAAGAGAACGTGTCTCTTGATGACATTATAGAAGCAGCTACCAAAGCGAATATTCATCAATTCATTCAGCAGTTGCCTCTAGTGAGTAAAACATTAAATAAAGTGTGATTGCCTTTTTATGATCTATGAGAATTAGGGATATGAGACAAGAGCTGGTCTAAAAGGTGGTCATTTGTCCGGTGGTGAAAAACAACGCATAGCTATTGCTCGAATCCTTCTTCGTCGACCGAAAGTATTTTTATTGGATGAGATTACTAGTGCTATGGATGCAAAAAATCAACAGGTTTGTTTTCTGTCTATTCGATAAGCGTATTAAGAACATTCTATTTAGATTGTGCAAGAAACTCTTGAACAAATTCAACTAGAAGAATCGAATCAATCATTCTTGATCATCGCTCATCGACTATCAACTATTAGTTCATGTGATCAAATTTGTGTTCTTGACAAAGGTTTTTTGATCGAAAGTGGCACTCATACAGAATTAATGCAACGACGTGCAGCTTATTATCAAATTGTTATGCGAACTGATGTACAATAACTATTCTTGTCTTTATCATAGCAGAAATAGCTACTTATTTGAAGAATATTGTCAGCTAATAAAGCAACATTTACAATTTCTACAGTTTTCCCACGTCAATTTGAGCGAACTTAAAGTCCACCTTCGATATCTATGTCGTAAACGTCTTCTTTTTTTTAATTCGCATCTGTTAGATATTGTTAGTAGTTACACGCAAAGAAATGTACATCGAATATGCAGTTAGAATATAAAATCAAAAGAATCAGTACAATGAAATCGTAAATGAATTCGATTCTTCTTCATCTGAAAAAATAGAATCATTCTCTTGTCGCCTAACATACTCCAGTTAGACATAAAAGCGTGGTACAGGTAGTTCTAGTTTTGAGAATATCTGTACAACGGAGCGACATTCGCTACATTGCACATGTTTTTCTTTTCTTTCTCGATTCCTTTTTTTTCGTTGTCATCTCTGTTTTCTCTCTGTTTCTGTCTCTCTCTTCTTCTTCTTTTGTGTGTCGTCGTAGCTCTCCGTTCCTTCGTATATATCTAATATGCGGAAAATGGTCTTTTGATCACTAAATCCTTCATCATTAGCCCTAGTAAACATATAAAACTCAAATAATGAGTATTGTATAAACACGCATTTCAAGTGATTCTGCTTTCACGTAACATTTACCTATAGCAAAAAATATCGATACTGAAGCAATCTGAGCGCATCTTCATTGATAGTTGAAACGGTAAGTTAGCTAGAAAAAAAATCAAAGAAACAAGTAGAAATTTGAGTTGACTACTTTATCGGACTTCTTTTGTATTATATTCAGATTTCAAACTCATCATTATTTTTGGATTCGCTTTTTTGTTGATTACTGATTGCTCCATTTAATGTGATATGCCGATTCAAGCAGACGTATCAAGTTCGAAATGATCGATATTTATTTGTACTTGTACAGTTTCGATATAGAATCGGAAAAACAAATCAGTATTCTATTTCGACAAAAAAGACTTGATTATTTGATCAACAGTCTGAAGTGAAATTGGTTGAATACTAGCTGCTATGCGTACTTGTTCAGCAATTAAAAGAATTTGATCATCCGTAAGTGTGTTAATGCTGAGTTGCATTGCTCGATGAGCCACTGCATGCTTACCTGTGATTTTACTTGCAACAACCAATGTTCTTTCTATGCCAAAATCTCCCGGTTGTATGATTTCGTATGTGTGAGGGTCAGCTAACATCGCCTTCACATGCACGCCTGCTTTATGTGTGAATGCATGTGGGGCTGTAATAGGCATATCATGAGGAATCGGAATACCAAGAATATTAGCTACAAGGGCATCGAGCTTGGGGAGTTCTTTCAAATCATACTTTGTTAATAGTGTAGGCTTCAGCGTTTGAAGTCGAGCAATGAGTCCACTCAACGAGCAAATTCCATTACGCTCACCGATGCCAAGCACACACGTGTCGATACAGTGTGCTCCTCCTTCTAATGCAGCATAGGCATTGGCAACAGCGCAGCCTGTATCGTTGTGACCATGAAATTCGATTTGGAAGTTGAAGGAGCGTCTTGAAAATTCATGGATACATTTGTAAACTTCAAATGGAGTAGCGCCGCCTACTGTATCAGCAAAAATCATTCGGTCAACACCGGCATCGTTCAGAGCGTCAGAGAGGTAAAGGAGTTCATCGATATCTGTACGAAATGCGTCTTCGGCACAGAAGGAAACAAATTGACAACCGTTACTCTTGAGAAATTTCACATTATCAGCAGCCAATTGTGTTACTTGTTCGAGAGATTTTCCGTGACTGGCTTTTTGCATATACGAACTAGTACCCATAAATAAATTAATACCATACGTGCCGCTCTTCAATGCCAACTCAACATCAGTAGGATGACATCGAGCTAAAACCATACTTTTGCTTTTTGCAGAACGAAGAGCAGAGACAAGTCGATGTAATTCGTCTTCAGCATTTGAATTTGACATAGGTAAGGTCATTTCGATATATTCGACGCCGAAACGTGTAAGTGATAAACATATTTGCAACTTTTGATCAAATGTAAAATAAGCGCCGCCATATTGTTCACCTTCACGAAGTGTAGAATCTGATATTTCGACATGTTCAATGGCCGTACGACTATCGGATTGTTGTTGTTGTTCTCCTTTATGCATTATTTTATTTGTTGGTGTTTCCATTGATTCTTCAAATTTTTTTATTTTTCTGCATAAAACATAAGATAAATTATTTTTCATTTCAGATTTGATCATCTTTTTTTCTATAATAAATTTAGATGATGTTGTAGAACATCTACTTTTATTGATTGCAGATAAAACACTTCTTGCAGCATATATCGATCAGGAGCAAATCTTCTATATGATTCCGTCTTGTTTTAGGAGAAAAGTAAATAACATCATTGAAAAAACAAAATTTGTATGTTTTTTTTCTTTAAGCTATTATCGTTGTAGAATTAAATTTCTATCAAAAACTAGTCGAACATTCTGATAATCCTTAAAATTTTCTACTAGATTTTATGTTTATGTTTTCCCTTGGATATATTTCACTGAAGAACAATTCGAGTATTATTGAGATATCCTGTTCTGCTCAACGATGAAGAAGTTGTGAAAGTGATGATTATTTCAATCGAATTATATCGCTTATTTTAGTATTGTATTTCAAAGAGAACATTGCATCTTCATCTTCATTTTTCTTACCTTATCCACTTCAGATTGAATCATTGATGTGTTTTTTCTAATGTGTGCTTTCAACGACAAGCAACTTGTGTTGCTTCTCTATTCGTTACGCATAACTGGTTCTTAATGGTATCATTTTCTTTTCCCCATAATACTTTTTTTATCGTTTCTGTTGACCATGAATTCATAGTGCACATGGTTGTAATCGGAAAGCAGCAGATGAGACGATACTCGCTACATTCGTAGTATAAAGAGTTACGCCAATTTTTCTTCTTTTTCTTGTTTTTTTTTGTTCTTGACGAAGAGAACGAGAGAATGAAAACAAAAGGAACGAAGACAAAATTACCTATGATATTCTTTTGTGTGCATCTGCTCAAACCAAGCATTGTGTGTCACCAGCAAATTTCTATCAAATAAAATAAATCCTATTAAGATACGGAGAAGCCATATCGGCTATTCGAGTTCTACATATATGGATAAGTTCTAACCGAGACAAGTAATGCACCATGAGCTTTGCGCACTTTCTACTGAAAGGATATCATCATTTAAAATCTATGATTGGCCGTTTTGTAATCAAGCAGTTGCGGGAAAAAATAATGCAACTATAAATACACTGCCGGACAAAAGCTTAGGACTTTTTAATTTTCTTCTTTCTTTCGAACAATAAGCGATAGAAATTTGATTTAAGAAGTGATATAGATAGTATGAAAGAAGGACTACTAAATGCGCTATGGGATGCGGCTAGATCTTCTAACTGCAGCTTTTAAAAATTAAAAAAACATTTTTAGGTGAAAAACGTTTTTTTTTGCCTTTAGTATTTTGCTGTTTTTAACCGAGAATTTTTCGCTAAAAAATTGAAACCTTGATGCTTCGATAGAGAATTTCACGAACTATCCACTGCTAAAAAGATTCTGGACTTTACTCTCTATTTTGGCCACCTAAAGTCCGTTTTATTGAATCCGGCCGCAAAACCTCGAATAAGAGCCATTTATTCCGTTAAATTAAATCCTATCTCAATGTATTATACACCAAAAGAAAGAGCATAAAAATCTGCATAAGATGATGTGTTTGAAGCTTAAAAATAATCAGATTTTCATAGATCTTTTTAAAGGAAAAGGTTTTAGAAAAACCGGCCAACCTTTGTTTTTCAAAACTTCCGTCATGAAAACTAAATTTTTTTATTTTTAAAATTAGTTAGATAAATAGAGCACAAAATTCTGGACAAGAATATGTCTTTTTTGGTTTCGTTCATCGTCACATGTTAAAGTTGTAAAATCAAAAGCTTTCAGTTCATTTCGAAAGATGTCGCTTTTTGTCAGCGTGTTCCACTCTCAAAAGTATTTTGCTCATAACTTGGTCTCAAAATGGCCTAAAAAGCCAGAAAAGGTCTCATTTTGTTCAAATTTA